GATGTTGGGACAGGTCGTATTAGTTTTGAAGATTGGATCAGTTGGCTTGGCGCCTGGTCTGATCATTCGGCCTGTGGCCTTGGTTAGTCCTTTGGTGGACGCAGATGCTAAGTAAGAGGAGGGCAGCTGCCTATTTAGGCACAGGGTCGGCCAGGCCACCATCATTTTTTAGCTAAGTATAGGAGGGTGGTCGTCTGTCTTGGAATCGACTGTATGTCCAGACGGCATGCCCCTATGGTGATAGAGTAAAATATTCAATGGAGAGTATCCGACTGTAAAGGTACAGGCGGCATGCCCCTCTAAAGATAAAGTAAAATACTCAATGGAGAGTAGCCGACTGTAAAGGTACAGACGACATGCCCCTCTGAAGATAGAGTAAAATACTCAATGGAGAGTAGCCGACTGTAAAGGTACAGACGGCATGCCCCTCTGATGATAAAGTGAAATACTCAATGGAGAGTAGGCGACTGTAAATGTATAGGCGGCCTGCCCCTCTGAATCAGTATCAAGTATTGAAATCATTTCAAGTGTTAGAGCAGATGGATCACCTAGTTCCCTTCCATAAAGGATGGATGGTGTTATTAATGAGAGTCGGCTGCTTTCATAGCTACGAGACTTCATTGTATAGGGGGCCGACTACTATTCATGCCGCCTCTCTTACTGTCACACAAATAAGTGGAGGTAATCCCTGAAGGGAGACGGTCTTCAATTGGTTACTGACTATGCTGCCGGGTTTAATAACCTTAGGCAATTTTTTTTTTTCGAGGGAAAATTATAATAATGATAAGGACCAATGTAGTGTTATTTATCAATGCCAAAAATTGAAGTGCCGGCCACTAAAGTTCAAGCGTCTACGAGGTGGTACTTGATTTCATTGAGTCATCCGACCACTAAATGTCGACTGTTCTTGTGACCATAGAACTCTTGTTGCCATAAGAATTTCTAAAATTTATCATGCTTGGTTATAGGCCGGCTGTTACCATGATGTGCCGGTTGGAGTTTGAGCTGCCGCCTGCTAGCCTATTTGTGAGGACCAATGAAGGTGCCATCGAAGTGTCGGCTACCCAAGCTGAAGCGTCCACGAGAAGTTGCTAGATTTTATTGCGCATCCGTTCACTAAAATAAGAGCAATAAAGGTTCTGACTTTGCAAGAAATTGTCGGTTGTTCTCATGATGATTTGCTTGATGATCTCGGCCATCCATGCTTATTATGGATTGTCTAACAAAATACGAAGGTTGCTCTGTTTTTCTCATATCCAACCAATAAGGCTGCCCACTTTAGTTAACCACTGACTTTTAAGTGAGCATGTGCCACTTGCTTTGTAACATTGCTAGCTCCATTGCCGGTAAATGGCTTTCTTGCTTTCCTTGCTTAGCCAAGTTCGAAGGTTAACCACCTTACCGCCTGTTTACATGTGAACAAAGGTGTCGTTTCATCATGGCTTTGTTCATTGCATCACAATACTATAAGCCATAATGTAAATGCCGGCTGAAGCTAGGTGACTAGCGCATGATGCCGGTTGCATGCTATTTGCGTGCTTGGCATTATTTAGACAAAAATGATCATAAGACTCGGTCCCCATTTAAAAAGTATGAAGACCCACTTTTGCTCATGCCCTTTCAACCAAGTGCCGGTTGTTTAAGGTGAGTCTAGCTGGGACTGGGCTTGAGTCTTGAAGAGCACTTGTGGCCGCCTGTTTTCATTAACAAGGGTGGCCGACTATTTGATTTTATTGAGCGTCTGAGCACTGAATGCCGGCTGAAATAAGAGCAATGAGGATTCCCTAACTTAGCAAGTTGAGTTATATACTCTTGGGCTCATAAATTTGGCTTGGATGATCACTTCATGCGGCTCTTCAAACACATGGATACACACTTGGTTGGACGAATGGATAGCTTAGCATCTACTTGGCATGTACTCGTACCCAGCATCAACGTCAAATCTCAGCATGATATTTGAACTTAGCACGATAATTGTGTTTCATGTGCCGCATGTTTTACTATGGCTAGCTTCTTTGGTTGCAAGTGCCCCCTGCTAGCTTGAGCTACGACACCTAGATGCCGCCTGCTCTCGAATGCTTCGACCATCTGAACTCAGCCAAGCCGGATGTGTTTTAGAGACGCCTCCTTGCTGTGTTGCTAGGACTAGGCCGGCTGTCTATAGACATACAAGGGACTTGATGTTGCGTGCATACACATGGTGGCTGTTTCTTTACAAACAATAGCAATGTGTCGTTTGATTCTTGATGTTTACCCATGATACTATGAAATTTCAAAAGGCACTCATTTTGAGCTTACATGGTGCTTTGGTAAGGATGCTGAGCTGCTCTTCTCAATGGAGCTAACTTTCAAAATTTTATTCGGCCACATGATGCCGTATGATCAGCTTGCCGCTTGTTTTAATTATGTTTTTGATCGTGTTGGGCATTATTTAGACCAAAGTGATTCAAGACTCGGCCCTCATTACAAAACATGAAGACCCATATCACCTCACGCATTGCTTGATGCGTTCGCTGTGGATTCCGCCTGCTTTCATGAAAGACAAGTGGTTTGTTGGATTTACTTGATGGCTAAACAGCCGGTTTCAATGCTTCCCATACATAAATACAGCTGCCTAGCTGCCTATTTTTTACATACACACGAACTCATTCGTCTCGGCCTTTTGAGTTGCTTGTTCTTGAAGTGATCAATCCGGCTGTTTGGTGGCTCGGATTGGGCTGGCTGTTTAGGTGTCGCCTACATTAGCATGGCTAGCTGATTTGTCATGCTTCGTGGCTAGGACTAGGTCGGCTGTCAACTGGCCGCCTGCTTCCTTGGGCGAGACGCCAATGCCCAGCTTTCACAATAAGAGACTAGCACATGAACAAGTTAAAGCATTCACTCTCATGGCCAATTATATTACTACGAGCCAAGCGCTACTCCTCTCGGCAGGCCGAGAGATTTTTATATGTGCGAGTATTTTGGCTGTTTGCTTTTGGAAGAACAAGCTGGAACCAAACTCATTTGTATCAAGTATACTTGGCATTATATTTTGAGCAAAAACCTTGCGACTGTACCTTGATAAAACATCATATAGAGCTGGCTGTTTATGCGAGAATGAGGGCTGCTCTTATGGTTGCCGCCTAAAAGCTCAAAGGCTCGACGTTGGCATGCCACTACTGCACTCACAGTCGGGCCTTTATCGAAGGAAAAACAGCAGGCTTCCTAGACATGTAGAACAACCGACCGAGGAAGCTGTTAGTGACAAGCATCATGGGAGCCGGCTATGTATATAGCGATGTGGGCTGGTAGTTATGATACTACTTATGCCACTTGATAATATCAAATGCTAAGATTAACTTTGTAGTAGGTTGCCACCTAAGGCTCTTAGGTGGAGCTTTGCCATACAAAATCAGTAAGTTAGGCGCATGTGGCCGTATGATAATGATTTGATAATAATGAATATTTTTTTTTATTTTAAAATCAATATCATAATAATGATTTGATAATAAAATTAATAACAGCTTACAAGCCTATCCATACGACTCTTGGCATCCGACCGTACGACGCTTGTAGTACTTGGCTGTCGGGCCGAATGCTGGGAGGCTGATATTTTGCCGGATGTACCCATTGAGTGTCGTGCTAGGCGTATGTAACTTCAACTGGGAGTGGTTTGATTTGGCCGACTGTTCCTTTGCAGGAACAAGCGCCCTTTGGTTGATCAAGTCTTGGATCTCCCCTTGAAACTACTCATGAGGGTCATGAGTTCATTCCTGGTGATAGGGGCAGATCCCTCGGCCGCCTGTTGATGATTAGGCGGCGGGCCAACTGGTTTACTAGATTCAGCCAGGCAGTCTCCCCGTTCCTTCCTTTCGATGGGACGGGTGCGTCGAGCTCTGAGGGACCCGTCAGGGGCCGTGTGAGTCTCGACTTCATATTCTTCGTCGGTACCCTGGTCTGACTGGACCAGGGGGTCGTCCATGGGACGCTTCTCACTTAGAATCGGTACAGACTGTGATACCATCTCGAAAGTACTCTCCCCACAGACGGCGCCAAAATGTTTCGGGGTTTCTGATGTCCTGCGGGAGAGTTACAATTCCGGGACTGGTATCCTTGCGCCTGTACCTGCAAAACAACGGAGACTCCTTGTGGTGGGAGCTCCGCCTCCAACGGTCAAGTTAGTACTTGTTTGAGGAGTGATAAATGCGGAAAGTAAAGGTGGGAGATCTGGTTCCTCTAGGGGAGGAGTGATCAATGTGTTTTGGTTTTCTCTAGGTGAGAGTCATTCTGTTGAATCCCCTTTAATGAGGATTAATTAAGTATTTATAGTCTTGAGAAGCGTGCCAATTTTAGGTTTAGGTTAACCAGGGCAAATTGGGCTTCTCTCGAACTTTGGGCCTTGGTGGCCATTTTGCCTATTTGGCATATGGGAGGCCACGTGGCGTGGCCTGATTAGTCCATGTTGGACCTCTTAGGGTGAAAAATGGCGGACGCTGATTGGCCCACGTGATGGACACGTGGCAGGTCCGGATTGGTCCATTTGTCAGAGTAATTTTTACCCTAAACAGTACTCAACTCTTCACTTACTCTTCTTTATCTGCTTCCTTCTATTTCATTATGAGAGGGTTTGGTAATTATTTTTTTGCTTAATTATTTGAGTCTTCTTTTAGTGGGGTTTTTGTACTGTTCATTTTAGTAAAAATTGAATCTTTAATGATTTTTCTGCTTATTTCTTTGTGTTAGTTATTTTAATGGGTAAATTTTTGGGTTTTGCTCATTTAATTAAGTGGGTATTGATTTTTTATTTTTTTATGTTAATAAAGATGGAATCTTTGATGATTTTTTTGGTGGGCACTTTTCTTTCGTTAGTGGCGGTTTTCATATTATGATGTTAGGTTATAGTTTTTTATATCATGTCATGATAAAATTTCATCTTATTTTTTGAGGTTTAGCATAGATTATGTTGATTTATACTGTAGATTGTTTAAGATTTGCTGGAAACACTCCCTTCTAGTAATTTTTTTAATTACCGGATCATTTATTTTATGGCTGATTTCTTATTTATGCTGTATTTTTTAGTTGGAGTTTCATTTATTTATTTATTTATGTTTCAAGAGAATATATATTGTCCTGGGGTGGGGGATTTTGAGCTATATAGTCATGAAATGGACTAATTTTTTACCACAAAAATCTAGATCTTTTTGGGAGGTTGGTGAGTGGAGCTTTTGATTGCTGTAGTCTTTTGCTTTTATCTGCTGTGTACTTAAGGGTAGTGGATATCATTCTTGATTTTCGGGGTTTAATTCCGATTTGTCAATGAAATTCCTTACAGGTGAATAGGGTGTACACTGGAAAGAGCAATTTAAAGGGCATATAGGGATGCAGAAGAGTGGAACGAACCGTCAGATTTCGTCGATTGGGTCTATGCCTTGGTGGGTTGCTGCTGGATCACAAGATGAAATGAATTCATCGAATCTCAATCAAATCGATTGGATTGGTGAGCACCAAAAATCGGAGCACATAATGAATGGAGCATCTGAGAAAGAAAAACAAGGGGTCTTCCATTTTTCCTTTTCTGCTGGTAAATTTCTGGATTTCAACTTTTCTGAGCTTTATGCTCTTGTGTATGTGAGCCATGTTACATTCTCATTAGTATCACAATTATATAATGTATATAATATGTGGAACGCTCAATTTGGCAAAAACTTTACGCCTGTTTTGTGGCCTGAAATATCTTATTGCTGTATTGAGAAGAATATTTGTCGAGTTTTGTGGTAGTCCTCTGGTTTGTTGATTAGACTATTGCAAAAAAATCTCAATTAAGGGCTTGTTTTTTGCTGCTAACAGTACTTTTGTGTATGATTCAATCTAACTTTAAGCTCTTTCATTGGCTAAGTACAAAGAGTTGAAAACAATTGTATGCTTTTTACCCCTAAATTTAGCACGTTTACAATGTTGAAATAGGGCATTATGGTATAAACTACCTTTCGGAATCTTCTATAGTGAGATGAAGGAAAATTGTAATAAACGTGGTTAAAGTATTCAGCACATTTTCGAGTTTATGATAGAGTGTAAATGTGTGATGTTGCTCTTTAGGACTGGCATTGCTTTTTATTCGAAGCAGTACTCCAATATTAATATCTTAGGGCAGGCAATTATATCAATGGAAGACCTCTAACTCTTTGTCCAATATCTTAAACTGCATCATTTGAGTGGCATGGTATGAAGGAAGAAATTAAACTTCTGAAGGATATTTTTACTGTCTATGATCATTTTTGGAGTTCAAGTTGAAGGCACAACTTACAACAATTAGTTAGAATGCTATTTTGTTCTTTGTTCAGTCATACTTTAGTGAGATTAGTGAGAATTCATGACCAACTCCAAATTTTTGATGTATGAAATAGGTTGACATAATAATAGGTTAGTGAACCCTAGGGTAATTCTGCTTTCAGTGTACATTTCATCCTGTCATGGATAGAAAACAATTTCCTGGTGTAAAGACCTAGAGTTTGTTGTCCTTGGTGAATCGGGAGTGCACATACGCAGCTGTGTTCTATCTTGGAGAACAGGAAATTGATTCATCTGCTCTTGAGAGTATGAAACCATTTGGAAGATGGTAAAAGTTGGACTTAATGCACATTTATGACTTTTGCTTTGCTGCAATTCTCCTTGATCCTTTTTGTTTTGTTTTGGATAGCTAGAGGTTTGCGGGAGTAGATGATGATTTCTTGTAATATCAATTATTGTTTGATCCATTGCCTGGGATCCTGTAACACCATTGTTGTACTTTATACACTGCCATTTTTGACAGGAAAAATATTTTGAAGGCTTGTGTGAAAGTCTTGCTTGATTTTATTGTACATCTTAATTGTTGTAAGTCTTGTTATTCTATCTTCCTCAATTCGATGGTTCATGTAATCAGTTTTCTAATAGCTTAACCACCAAGTCCATGTCCACCAACTCCATTTGTCACCTGATAGACTAATGATGAAAATAGAGTAATTTAATAAAATTCCAAGGTTACCCTGCATGCACTAGACCACTACATTTGTTTGTACTTTATAGATGTAAAGAAGCAGAGAGGTTATGCTATACTCCAAGGCAACAAGCACATCTCACTGTGCTCTTTTATCGGGCAGCATGTTTCTTACTTTTTCCTTTGTAATGCTTTCTTTGTCCATGTTGTGAGACTATTGGTTGGATCATTAATTTATGAAATTCTTGTGTTCAGAGGATAACAAGAACTCTATAAAAGAAAACAATGGCCGTGATCATCAAATCAACAGTTTCCAGCAGTTCCCTCTTCCCCAACAGAAGAATTATGTTGAGCTTGGACTTGGTCAGCCAATGGTAAGTCTTTCTATTGATAAACTTAACTATATAAAGCTGCTTTCTTTTCCTAGTATACTAATCTTGTTCAAATAAACTCTTCAGGTGTATGCAAATCATCCTCTTGATCAATGTCATGGATTATATGCAGTTTATGGGACTCAGCCAGCGGTTTGTTGCTTTACCAAAAAAAATTTTATCTTCCTGTTTTCTATTTCACTGTTTCTCTGTAACTGTCATGTTTTAGGATATATATAATATAAAAAAAAAATAAAATAAAATAAAAAAAATCTTATCTCATGTAGTTTTATGGGTATTTACCATGATTGTGCATGTAATAAGTATGAATTATGATGATGTTTATGCTTAACAGGAGTCTGTCTGTTTTGCTATTATCACAAAACAATCTTTTTTTTTTGTTGGTTGTGTACTAGTCTATGCTATGATACACCGTAACTTGATATTTTTGTTCATACACATTCTCCGGAATTAAAGGGTGAACAAGCTAGCTAATTCTTGTTTGGTGGTCTGCCATTTTGCACGTAGTGTGCAATGGTCTATTATGTTTGGAAAATTTTACTGTTTGCATATGGAATACAAGGTTTCGTGACAAGAATTGTCCTTTTTGCAATTTAGGGGCGAGCTATGCTTCCATTTAGTGTGGCAACTGAAGATGGGCCTATTTATGTAAACCCTAAACAGTATCATGGGATTATGCGTCGCCGAAAAATGAGAGCAAAGGAAGGGTTGAAAAACAGGTCAACTAAGGATAAGGTACCACTTTGAGATTTGGTAATGCATTTGTTAAACTGTTAGCCTCCAATTATTTTTTCCTTACTAAAAGTCAGTTTAGTTGATTTTTAATCTATTTCAATTGTAACATATTGGAAACCTTTCACCGTCACATATTTTCAAACTGATATATGCTCTCAATTGGTTGGTGAAACAACTCTGCACATTGCACTAATATATGTATCAAAATGTTTAGTTACTACTACTTATTTACCTGCATCACTAATAAATGAGTTTTTGACTCGGTATGCATTGAAGTCTAAGGTAATTTTGTGATGAGTTCCCAAAACATATTACATGTTTAAGTAATGTTGTACTCTGATAATTTATCCCAATGATTACTTGGAAAGGTTTGTATTTGGTGTTTCTAACTTCCAAGGGGATTTTTGTGTATTTATCTATCTATTTTTGAAATATTTTAGTGCTAAACATCTAATTATGTACTTTGGTTTGCAAAATAAAGAGACTGTAGTGTAAATCCTAGGTTAACAGATTGCCTTTCTTGCTTCTTCCTTCTTTAAAATTTTCTGCCATAGATGACAGTCTCATGAATTTAGTTTCCAGATTTAGTTTGATAAACTACTCCGTATTTGAAATGATTTTTGTAAGTATATATTCTATTTTGCTTGGAGTAATATTTAATCGCTTGTTTACTCAACTTATCTGTTTGTGTTGCAATCACAGCCATATGTTCATGAATCTCGGCACCGCCATGCATGCCGTCGAGCAAGGGGTGCTGGTGGACGCTTCCTCAACACCAAGAATCTTGAGAATGAGAAGAATAAACAGGAAACAAAAAAGACATCTGAGCAACTGACCTTTCTTTCTTCGCACTCATCAGGCTCTGAAGTCCTTCAGTCTGAAGGTGGAAATCTGAACTCCTCAAAGGAAGTTTCTGATTGCAAAAGTCCAAACTTTTCTGGCTCTGAAGTGACTAGCATGTATTACAGCAAAGATTTTGATTGCTTTGGAATCAATCCTGGCCGTCCTTTTGCTTTCCACCCTTTACAAAATATGGAAGGAAATCGGCAGGGCAGTAACTGGGTTACAGCAGTTGATGGCTGCTGCAACCTTTTTAAAGTATAAGAGAGGAAAGGGACATAAAAAAGGATGGTTGCTTTAATCGTGGAATGTTTCTGGATTAGCGATCACCTTGTCCCTTTAGCCGCTACAAAGGAGTTTTGGTTGCAAATTATGTATGAAGCTCCGCTAAGTGGTCATTTTCTCTCTTTCTCTCTTCCATTTGGTTGTGTTATCGAATGGCAAGTCATCCTTTGGCTATGAGGTTTTCATTGTTGCTCGATTCGAACTCTAAAGCTGCATGGCTTCAGAGCGGTCGAGTAACAAGAGGCCTCTCTGTATCATATTAAAAAATTATAATCCTAAGGGGTTTATTTACTTCAGTTTTTGATATTGCTTTGTTGTTGAAGTCTTAGACTCATGACATTGGGTTTGCTTTCTTAGCTAAACTTTGAAAGTCTACTCGTGCTATTTGTGTGGCTGGATTGTTATGTGTATATGCTACTTTAAATTTGTAATATAACTTCAAACTTTTGTTTTTTCCCTGTCAAATGAGTTCTCTCCTGTATATCTGAAGTTACCACTTCGATTGGAAGTGGCTCGTGTGATGTCTCGATTGCTACAGGTCACAAGACCAACCCTTTAGATGTTTTTGATGCAGGAGCAAGAAGCTACTCAAAATTACTTCGAATTAAATAACTCAAAATGATATACGTAGCATTTGGATGATGTTTCAGGTATGATCTGCATGATGGTAGTTCTGTTATTCTGAGCAGATTGAATTTATGTAAATCCAACTACCTACAAGAATTGCTACAGGTCTACAGCATTACTAAGAGTTCAAAATGTTGCTCCCTCCTATTTTCGTCGTTTTTAATTTACTTTTTACACAGTTTTTAGTACGTGTTTAATCTCAAATATTTCGATGTATATATCGTAAAAAAAGTTAAGAAAAACTTATCTTGAAATACACTTTACATCATATAATACGAAAATAAAAAAGTTTTCCCATCATTGAAGAGTTTAAAAGTTAGTTTTTTAATTACTCTTCTTAAAAGTAATTTTGGTAGTGGGTTTTGCGTGTAATAGCAAAAGCTAGAATAATGTTGTTAGATTAGGTTTTCATACCTTTAAAAGCTGTACTTCTGAAGTGCGCGCTATTCTTAAATGTTGCCTTTTCGAAAAGAGAATCTCCCTCTTATTTCTGTGTATTTCATTGTTTCCTTGTGAGATAAGGGTAATAAACCTGTTTCATTTGAAGCTATTATGGGGGCCAAATTTTGATAAGTTGCTACAAGCTTATGAATTCAGAAAATGGAACTTGTATGTGCTGATAAGCTAGGTTGCACGAAAACGGTACTGACACGATACAAGAAAATGTCAATCTCAAGAAGACACAAGCATGCGATGTCAAAATTTATATACATGACCTATACTTGAAATCATAAATGTAAATATAACAGAATTATCAGCTTAATCAGCATAAAGTACTTGCCTAATTGATTTCTTTTCCCTCTCTAGTTCTATATTGTCATTCGATCCTCTTATTCGATCACACTATATCATATTAACAATATCAAAATACTTAGTTCACATATAACAATGAACTATGTATAAAGGCACCCTATATTTAACTATTACTTTATCTATCTTACTTTACTTAAATTTTCACATTAAAAAAAGTTGAAAAGACAATACGGTGGTGTGTCAAAAATACAACGAATTAAAAAAAAGTTGAAAGATAATACGGTGGTGTGTCAAAAATCACAACGAATCATATCATAGTAGAAAGGTGGTGTATCAAAAAGCAAAACAAATTTATCATAGTAGGACATGCCCCTAGACGTATCGTCGTGTATCCTACGAGTGTCGGTGTCCGATATGGTGTTTGACACGGACATGACACTTAGATGAAGTGTCCACGTATCCTAGCTGATATTTGCAAAAACAAGTTTACACTTTGGTTTATAAGTTTAAGGGAAGGTAAGAAAACACTATAACCGAGTAAAAGTAGATATAAGATAAGATTGACATAGTGAAAAGAATAACACATTCCAACGCGATGTTTTTTTTTTATATATTTTTCATTAGGATTTAGGAGAGGGGATCTCCTTAGAAAAGCAAAAGTAGATGGTAAGATTTGAATTTTTAACTTCAAAGGCATAAGGTGAATTGTTCACCATTTCTATGAAGCATATTTTGGTAATAAAGGTCATGTTTAGTAAATGGTTTTGCCTGGCTTTTTCATTGGGATTTGTTAAATATCGCCCACAAATTACTACATAAAGCCCACAAAATATACTTGGTTTGACACTTTTGCCCATTTGTGAAATCTTACCAAAAACGAAAAATTATGACATCGAAAAATCAAATTAAAAAAGACACTAGGTTTGACACTTTTGGCCATTTGTGAAATCTTACCAAAAACGAAAAATTCGGACATCGAAAAATCGAATTGAAAAAGACACTTGGTTTGACACTTTTTCCCATTTGTGAAATCTTACCAAAAACGAAAAATTCTGACATCGAAAAATGTGGAGCCGTACTGGGTCCCCGCGGGAGACCGGAGAGCCGAGGGACGCCGAAGAGCTGTCGTCGCCACAGCAAAACGAGGTAAATCATCGTCGGCAGCGTGAGCATGGACCACCACCGTCATGGTCGGGGCGCCTGGCCAGGACTGTAGGGTTTCGTAGTGACCCGACACTACGCGAAAGGAAAACCACCAAGACCCGCCCCTTAATTAAAACAATTAACAAGCATATTAAACTTAATCAAACAAGATTAAGAACAAGAATTATACCTTTGTCACGTGCTTCGCTCCCAAAGAGCTCTTACTTCAAAATCCTGAAAACACGAGATCTCCAACGGATCGTACCCTGGACCCGACCCGAGAGTCCTAAGTCTTGAAGGTTAGTCAAGACCCGGACAAAGTAACTATGAGTTTTACGAATCAAAGGTTTACTCTTATTTAGAGTTGACTTTTTAATTCCACTCAAGGTTGTTCATTTCCCAATACCCAAGCTTGATATTTATAGGGAAATGAACCCTTGAACTTCATTCCCCAACCAATGTGGGAGAATGAATAATTTGCTAATTAATTTATTTCTAAAATAAATCAATAATTAAATTCAATCACAATGCAACAAGTGTCAAAGGGAGAGAGAAGGTTAGGTGAGGACAATGGAGAGGTGGGGGGGGGGGGGACCATTGCCTTGCTCCCCAAGGCTTTCCCAAAGCCTTGGTCCCCACCCTCATAAAATCGCCTCACCCAAAAGGGCTGCTGGGCTGCTGCCAGCTAGCACGCCAGCTAGCAGTGCCAGCCAACCCAGCCAGCTAGCACCAGGCTACCCAGCAGCCTCGCATGCTTGATGCTGGTACGTGGCAGTGCTAGGCGCTAGTGCTGGCCTTCGCATCCTACGCACCACACGCATCATCGCTGAACCCCTTCGCACATGCTCGCACACCCAGCATGCGTGCTACTAGCGAGCCGCGCATGCTGGCCCCTTTGCCTCGCCAGCCACACGCACCATCCTCGCAGCATCCCTCGCACATGCACTAGATACGCACCATGCGCACTAGTCATGCATAGCGTGCATTAGCCTCGCATCACACGCACACCCACGCATCACACAGCAGCCTTGGTGCGTGGTGATGCTGGGCTGCTGTGCGTGGCCTAGCAATATGCTGGCGCCCAGGCCCTCGCACATGCATGGTGCGCTGCTTGGTGCTGCCATGCGAAGGCTAGCACACAAGCCAGCACGCATGGTGCGATGGGCCAAGGCACAAGCACACGCACACACGCACTGGCCTAGCCATGCGATGGTGTTGTGCTTGTGCTGCGATGGTGCGATAGGTTGCTATGGGTTGCTATGGTGCGCATAACACTTGCGATGGGCTACCATGGTGCCCAAGCTGCGCCTAGTGCCTACGATGGCAGCGATGGTGCCTAGGCATCATGCTAGGGCTGCGATAGCGCCTAGGCATGATGCTAAGGCTGCGATAGGTTGCCATGGTGCGCCTAGGCTACGATGGTGGACTTAGGTTGCGATGGTGCGCCTAGCACACCTAGTGTGCTTAGGCTTGCGCCTAGCCATGCTAGGTGCATGCTAGCCTGAACTAGCCTAGCATCCACATGGCCAGGCCAGTGTGGTGCTAGGGCTATGTTCATACTTGTTACTTTGTGATTTCACGACGCTCGGTCTCGACGCCCTAGGCTCGATATCTGACGTCTGTATTCGTAAAACTCTGCTGACTCATTAAATCCTTTCGGATTAATTCGTCGCCTCGGATCGGTGAGTCGATTGGGTTCGACTCGAAGGGTTTAGTGAAGATTAAGCTGTAACATCAATTGTACATTGATATTACTGATTAGAAGCGGCCTCCACCTAGGCATTCAGATCACTTGACCTTACTGAAGAATTAGCTCCGTAATAATTCTGAACCCTATATCGGAAGAATACACTTGTTGGAAGGACACCATTCCTTTCAATCTCCCACTTGTCCTTCCGGACAAGTGTGCATACAGTGTATAGCCCATTTCCTATGTCACTTAATGTTTTTTTGTGAACTATAAGGTAAGATTCTTTGTCATCCTTATTACGTTCAGAAGTGTTTCTCGATATCCGAGTTCGACTGTCAATAAGCAGATGATTTCTAAAATCCATCTGAGCACGGCCATGCAGTTTCACAGTCTCGCTCTTCGAGCGGCCTTGTAAACAACAAAACATTTTCCCTATTGTTAGTAGGGGGACAATCCCAGTCTTGTATTGTAAGTTCCTCTTACTAAGAGGACATAGTCTCTTGAGTGTTCCCGTTATGATCCTCAGTTACGACAGACGTTAGGAAACATCAAAGAGTCTAGTACTCAAACAAGAAAACTTCACAATACTCATGGTCGGAGGAAACAAGTTCCGATAGTCATAATGAGAAATGTACTTATGAAAAAAATTTGAAATTCTTAAAGTACTCTCATAGGTGTTATCCAGTACAGTTCCAAACTGTACCTGTGCAAAAGATTTATGACCGTCACGTCCTCGCAGCACAAGAAACGGTGCTATAAATCATACTACACACTAATCTATGGCGGTCATCAATCGTCCATCTGTTAGATGACCTCGATTAGGGACAATCTTCGATTTAAATATTCAATGTTCACTTAACAGGTGTTTCTTTATCCAAGACATGGTCTTGATACCCTGTTTTGAATATTTCCGTAAATCGAATGGACTCATTATTTAATTCTAAACCACAATTAAATAGTAATGGAGTGAATGATAATTTTGCACAAAAATTAGTTACTCCATTAATGAATGGTTTTAATACAGTGTCTTACATTAAATATCCTATTTAATCAAAACACATGTACAGGGAATTTCAAAGCCAGTCTCCAACATGCTTGATTCCCATCGCCTCAATGTGTTTGTTGTGTTTCACTTGAGGCAGCGGTTTAGTCAAAGGATCAGCTACATTATCATTTGTGCCAATCTTACAAATTCTGATTTCACCTTCGGATTTCCATTCCCTTATCATGTGAAATCGCCTTTGTACGTGTTTGACCTTCTGGTGCTC